CCAAAATCTTTGTGGAATAACCTTGAGAAAGGATTAGAAAAGGTAGAAAACGACATGAAGGATGCCTAGAATGCATGAATTTGAAATAAATGACAGCAGTCCTTGCTTGGTCCACTTCCAATATTCGTGAATTTCAGTTACCATGGTTTAGTTAAATAACACAAATGCCCCCAAATTACAGTACAAATTTCAGCTACCACAATACCACAATATATTAACTAAGTACTTGGATGAAGTGCAAACTTCACTGCTATCTCTTTACTCCACAAATCACCCTGTTAATATCAGGTGTGTATCAGGATCAGTGACCAATCATGTCACTTCTTTCAAAGACCGTTGGTGACTACTCACTGAACACCTGTTACTCAGTTCATGCACAGACAGCAGAGCATGTGTGTTGTGTAACTTCCTTGTCTCCCAGTAATAAATCAATGTGATATTTTACGATGGATTATCAAAGGAGGAAGCAGGGCAGCAAAAATGAAAGAATAAAGAAATATAAAGTAATAATGTTGGAAGTGAGATTCAAATAAAATGTAAATGACATCACAAAATAACTGACTGTGGGAATGTCAACACTGCTGCCATTCAAGAAACTCTAGATATACAGTCAGAGAAACTCAGTAAAAGTGAACTTATTTGCATAAATCAGGACAGTGAGTAGGTTGTGACAAAAGGAATGCAGATGTCCCAGAAGTGGTGACTCTGGCAAAAAACTCCACATAAAAGAAATTCTTGGAGATATTGTATAATACTATAAATGCAAAGGATAAAATGTTGGAAGCTGATCCAAACCTTAAAAGGAGTATGACAATTCACTGAGGCATAAAAAAAGATGCTTGCTCTGTATTCAAAGTTATATAACAAGAAGGAGGCAAGCACCGTTCAAACTACTCTTGATGGAACACTTCAATTCTCAGTGTTTCTAATGTTTCAATTTACCATGTACTAAATAGTTTTACTTTTCCCCATTTCCTAATAGTGTTATTACTGACAGTAAGAGGGTTTTTAATGTTTTGACAAAAATTTTAAAGGTCATGGAGCAACAATAATTTTTTTGCATTTATTTTAGATTGCTTTGCAGAGTTTCAGCTCATTTGGTCATGTTTATGGTCTCACAGCTTTGTGTAAAGACAAGTTCAAAGGAAGGAAAAGTAAAATAGATATGCCTGACTCAAAGAATTTCAGAATGTTGTAGTCCCTGGTATGGAACTGAACCTTAACCCTATAGGAACTAGAGATCTTGGTGAGCAACACTTGAAATCATTTATCAAACATCTTAATGACAGAAATTACCTGGTACACTACACCAAAGACAAAGGAAGAATCTGGAAATCAGCCAGTAACTTAAGTATCATTGGCATGGGAAACTGTGAGTTGGTATAATTTTCAGAACAAAAAGCAAGTGCCCAAAATGTAATACTTCTGGAGATCTGTGACTTTGGTTAAGACTCAGTGTTTGATTCTAGTTATCTTTGAGCTGTTTGCAAGGCATTAAGATTCTGCTTAAAAGTTTGTAAGTTAAAGATAAAGGCAAAGATGTTTAGGAACATTTCCCTGTAAGAAACCTTTGTCTTCAAAACATGGTCTAGGGCTCACCAAGTCCTGGCTTGGCTTCAGGAGTTTAAAAGTCTTCTCAGGCTTCTTCCTCAGTAGGATCAGTGGCATCCTGAGATACAGTTCAAGATACATTTCTGGTAGAAAGTAACTCTTTCCCCTAAAAATGAAGGCACAACCTGTTCTTTACTACACGTTTAGCCTATGGAAAGTCCAAGTTGAATCTTGGACTACCAAAAGACTGACATACAGAACTAGAAAAGCCACTGTGGAAAACCTCCTGTGATCAAATACAGACCATAAACGGTAACCTGAAACAGTTAAGGACAACTAGAAATCCAGAAAGTGAAAGTCATGGGTCTGAGTTACTATTAATAACTCAGGGACTATATGATAACCACACTCTAAAAAATACATAACCAAATGGCAAGTGGAAAACAGCGGGGCTCTCCTGTTTGGTGAACCCCCAGGCCATAAACAGGAGGCCTTTTTTTTTTTTTTAAAGGTTTTATTTATTTATTTGGCAGAGAGAGAGAGAACAAGTAGGCAGAGAGGCAGGCAGAGGGAGAGGGAGAAGCAGGCTCCCCGCCGAGCAGGGAGCCCGATGCGGGGCTCGATCCCAGGACCCTGGGATTATGACCTGAGCCGAAGGCAGCCGCTTAACCGACTGAGCCACCCACAAGAAAGGGTACCCAAAAAAAGGTAGACTCAGATCCATGACTCGCCCAAAAATGGGACAGAAGGCACAGAACATGCACACTTACATGTTTCCTCAACTGAAAAGTGCATGCTACAAAGCCAGGAGCAACATGCATTTCATTTCCACATCTCAGGCCTCTACGCCCATGCCTAACAATCAGTAGGCACCCTGTCAATACATACTTGTTGAATAAATTAAAGTAGGTCTACATTCTGCTCTGTCAGTAAGTTTCATCTACTGAGTATGTGTAACCAGATACAGGTTAACTCTCCCTGAAAAAAAAAAAAAGTTCTCAAAATAAGTCCAAGACAGGGAGGTAGTACACTGTAGTGGTAAACAGCACTGGTTCAAATCCCAGTACCGCCAGAGAAGAACTGGGGGACTGTGGGCAAACTGCCTAACCTACCTGAGCCTCAAGTTTTTATCTACAAAATAGGAATGAGAACGATGACACCTAACCCCACCGAGTTCCTGCGGGCTGGAAATGTGACTGCAGAGGTCAGTGCTTTTCAGCATCTACTGTACAGAGCAAGGGTTCCACAAATTTGTAGGTACTCTTATCATAAACACCTTTCAATGGGAGTCCAGACTGAGTGAATCAAGCATATAGGCCCTCATCCACATTCCCCCCAACATTTACTTGTTCTAAGGAGAGCCTAAAAAAAAATTGCCACCAAAATATTTTTTGTTTCATAAGCATGTTCTTTAAAATATGATCAGTGGAATAAATATAAAAAAGAGCATTCAACCTAATACAAACTGAAAATTAAAACAAGATTTTTTTCACCCATCAAATTATTAGCAAAGATTTTAGAATTATGTCAGGATTATGAGGTAAAAAACAGATATCTTCATCTGCAGTAATTGATACAAAGTTTCAAGAAAACACTTTGGCAGTATGTACCAAGAGCCTTAAAATAGCTCTGCCATTTCCAGTCTTACATATCTTTAGCAGAATCATTTCCACAGTATCAAAAAAAATTGGAAACATCCTTAATATCCATCAAGATGAGAGTTAAGTAAATGAGAGCACAGACAGCTATAAAAAGATTTTGAAAACAAGGGGGGAAATCAGGGTATAAATATATCAGTTACATGAGGCCATTTATGGTTTTCTTTTTTTAAGAAACATAACAAAAATGCACAGAAAAAAACTGAAAGGGAAGGAGGAAACCCACTAGAATACACCAATAATTTATTTCTAGGTTGGGAGGCTTCAGATTTTTGTTTTTGCTCTCTAATTTACTATTTTTTAAGAGAGAAAGCTTGTAAGGCTTATTTTGTGAAAATATGGCTGACAGAGAACAGATTGACTCCTCGTTCATTCAATAAAAATAATGTCACTAACGATAATGCCACGATCAGCAAACTTCAACCAATCCAAAGGCAACAAATCACACTACTGTGAAATAATTTCATTATCTTAAAAAAAGGCTATTCTCTCCCTCAGTCATATGACACGGGCTTAAGGCCTGAGTCTGCCAATAAAGATAAAGGCTTTCCCTAACATCAGGATAGACTGAATAGGTCTTGATGCTCTATCAGTCTTTTTTGTGATATAAAAGGCTTACCAAAATTCTAAGAAAATTTCCACAAGAAGTCTAGACACTTTTTTGAAAATAAAAGTTGTGAAATATCTTGACAGTTGTCACTGTCAGCCCTTTCTTCCCTTTCTTTGCTTTTAGACAAAAGTTGAGAACAGCTTTGAAATCACAAAGCATTTTCCAGAGTGCCGTACATGGAGAAGAGACCACAGAATATATAATCAGTCATCTCTCTTCCATTTTCATCACTTCAGATTTCTGGGTAAAAGTAAAATTCATGAAATATACAATAGGCCAATCCACTACAACATTTTACTAGCTTTCACTTTTTTAAAGGTTGCAGAGTGAAATCAATGAGATCAGCATTATTCACACCTTACCTTGTATAAATGCTAACTGGCCTTGAATGACTGACCATTTCATTGCACGATAGGGAGATGAGGAATAAATGTTACATGTTAGAAGTTTAAATGTTTTAGACTGTCACCTCAGAACCTCACCAATTTAGTAAATTTCTTTTACCAAACTGGTAGGGAAATAAGGTTGAGTGTAAGTATCAACCAGAATATATATTACCTTTTTACCTAGTAGTGACAATTCCACATTGTTGATGCTAAATCTGAAATAGCATCAAGATTTACCCTGAGAAGTTTGGTCACGTGACTATTACAGCAAAACATGATCAAAACCCACAATTCATCCGTGGCTACTCCCTTAGAGGCTGCAGAATCATAGTAAGGATGATAAAACATGGTTCAAATGTGGCTTTTCCTAGGATGACCACATGTACACAGACAAGTGTCAACTAGGAAAATAAAGACAGGGCAGTCTTAATGCTCAAAAGTACAATATCCTACCCTAACACTAATGTAGGGGTGTGACCATCTCTTTGCCAAAATAATGTGTGTAAAGGCTCTGAAAACACTATACTCTGTATGAGTTTAAGGTATTGTTATTATTAGGATTCCCACTATTCATTCTTAGGAAGTTTTTAAAAAAAAACCTTAGGAATTAAAAGTGAACTGCAGCAAACTGTGGGGGAAAATACACACTTCAAGAATACTGAGACTGTATATTATTATTTATCACATTATCACACTTCTTAATACAACTCAGACAAAATATTTCACTAATATTACTTCCCAGAAATAACGTTTTCATCATTAAAACATAAATAATAAATAGAAATAAATACTTACTCACAATACCAAACTGTCCCCAAGACAGAAGTACAGCCAAAATTGGGAAAATAACAATGAGGATATTTTCATTTGGAGAAAACCATGAAACTGGGAAGAAAACAAAAATCACAATTAATATTTACTCTAATCATGTTAAGTCCTGCTATGAATAGTCAACAATATATTTTTATTGTGAAGATGGAAAATAAAAATAACTTATTAAAGCTGTGGCCTTAAAATAATTACAAATTACACAAACAGTTCACTTATACAGCAAATTTTATGAAACAAGAAGCCAGTTTAAGTGTTTTTTTTCCACATTTTCCCTAACCTATGATTTATGGAAGGAGACAATATGGCACAGGAGCTGAGAACAGGGCTCTGCAGCCACGAAGCCTGGCTTGAAACCTAACTCTACATTATAAGCTTTGTGAGTTTGGACAAAGTCTTAACACCTCTCTGTTCTTTAGTGATCTCAACTGTCAAACCAGTACAACATAGTACCCATGCCTCGAAGGACTACTGTGACTATTAACAAAGCTACTACGTGAAAAGGGCTTAAAATGGGGGCTCCTGGGTGGCTCAGGTGGTTAAGCGTCTGCCTTCTGCTCAGGTCGTGATCTCAAGGTCCTGGGATGGAGTCCCACATCAGCCTCCCTGCTCAGCGGGGAGTCTGCTTCTCCCTCTCCCCTCCCCCCATCTGTGCTTTCCCCCTCCTCTCTCTCTCAAGTAAATAAAATCTTAAAAAAAAAAGAAAAAAGAAAAAAGAAAACGGCTTAAAACAAAAGCTTGGCTATGTACCAAATAGTCAACCTTCACTACAATGATTATAATGTTATTAAGGAAGTTTCTGTTAAGTGGGTCACATGTTACCTAGACAGTGAAAACAGAGCCACACAGTCTACATGAAGGAAACTGTGACATTAAGACTTCAAATAATTTGAGAACTTTTAGAACATTAAGTTTCATTTCATCTTAACACGTAAGACACTGATTTTATCTGTGAAATTTCTTTTTTAACAATAAAGCCAAATAAAAGCACCAAAGACATTTCAAAGTTTGCCTGTACATGGGGAATTTGCTGTTTGAAGAACATTCCTAAACATTGCCCAAAGCAAGCACTGGTGGTTCCTCTGAAATCAACCCTATTCATTGAAATCCTCCCGGGCTCTGCCATTCTGTATTGGCATGTGAAGAACCTTGTGGGCTTTCATACCATAACGATACGTTTCTTGTATTAACCTTACATTAAAACCTGGCAAATTTTCGCAATATACAGAATATAACACTATAAATTCTTAGAGATATTACCTTTACAGAATCTAGCATTTTGCCCTATACATAGTAGAGACCCCATAGGTTTGCTGTTGAAGGTTCTAATAGTCATGAAATAGTTCGGTGAGTGAATGGAAGACTGTGTTTCATTTTTTGCAGATCTCTAGCAAGAGACAGATTTTTCAGATACTCTGAATCAATACCTTAATTTCCAACTGTATTACTATCTTCTTACACCAAAGAAAACCTATTTTAATTTGGCCTAAAATCCTACCAGGAAAAAAGTTTGTAAATTATGCTTAGGTTTTCACATCTAATGCCCAATTGGATAAAAGCTCTATGACCTAATGACTATTCCTAATCAATTTATTTTCCCTATCCATTTTCTCTATTATTTTGTTTTGAGTTGTCTATATTAACTCCTCAAACCCTCACGATTATTGTATAAGGAATTATCAACCCCTCAATACTGAGGAAACTGAGGCACAGTGCAAAGATCTTTTTTCATTTTTATTTTTTTTATTATGTTCAATTAGCTAGCATATAGTACATCATTAGTTTTTGATGTAGTGTTCAACGATTCATTAATTGTGTGTAACACCCAATGCTCATCACCACATCTGCACTCCTTAATACCCATCACCCGGTTACCCCATCCCTCTACCCCCTTCCCTATGGATAAAGGGCTGGTATCCAAGATATATAATGAACCAAGAATCTTAAGTATCTGAAGTTTTCATGTCCCAAATGGACTTCTGATACCCCTCCACCTACTTCACCAAACCTCCCGTTCTCAGGTTTCCCCATTTTGGTAGTGCTGACTTCTCCAATTACTCAGACCAAAAACCTTAGAGTCATCCTTGACTCCTTGGTTTCTCTCACACCCCACACCCAGTCCCACAGCAAATCTCATGGGCTCTACATTCAAAATACAGCCATTATTGGATCAACATAATCAGTATGTGTTTAAGATGAGCTGACAATGAAATGTTCTTTCACTGACCTCCCTCCCTATGCAACAAAACAATCTCAGGATATATTGATAGAAACCTATTAATACAAGGTGTGTCTGACCACAATATTTATTGAAATCACACCATGGATAGGGTATTCTAGATACTTAAGGCCCAACAGGGAACATGGCAGGTGGGGCCATGAGCTCGAGGAGGAGGAGGAATTGAAGACCAGATTTTTATGGGTAGTAAGGAGGGGTCTCCGGGGTGAGGAACTGGATCTGAGCCACATGAAGACAGGGAAGAAGAGACACCAAAGGAAGAGCAAGTTCAAGCAACTAAATGGTGGCTAGAATTTAGTGATACAAGAGGAGATGGGAAGAGTCTTGCTGGAGAAAGATCATGTTGGGTCTTAATAGCTTGTTATGAGAGTTTAGATTTTATTGTAAGAGCAATGATTGGAAAGTGATTGGAAAGCTTCAAACAGGGGAGAAAAATGACCATGATTCATTTAAAATCTTTGCCAGCCAGGTGGAGAATGGATTACAGAAGCAGGATCGATCAGAAAGTTGCTGCAGCAATTGGATAGTGGCAGGAAGACAAGGTGTGACCCACAAACACAGTCTTGAGTACATTTCCACTCATCACATTTAAAGACCTAACAGGGAATTGTTCCAAAGGAAGGTGACTAGAAGGGGGATCCTGAAACCATTAGCAATGGCTGGAAGAACTGGGGATTTCAATCTTAGAGAAGCAGCAGCTTGGGAGGGAAATACCATAGCTCTCCTTGTGAGAAATTACAGGGACTGCAAATTCTAGCCTGACTTAAGTTAGAACTGCCTACTAATAGACCAAGATCCTTTGGGAAGTAAGAGAGTTTCCTCATGTCAAGTGTTCAGGTAAGAAGGCTGAATGATAACTTCCTGGGGCGTGACAGAAGTAATTCATGAATTAGACGGTGAGAGACTAAATGATTAGTGGAGGAGTCCAAGCCTCTCTGTGGAAAAAAGAAGTGTAAGGGACATTTCAGTGACATACAGAAGGTGGGACTGTAAAACAAAAAATACCATCGTCTAAGTGATTCTTAATTGAAACTCATCAGAAGGTTTATTCATACTTCACATACACTCCCCTCTCAGACTCACCCCAAGATTCTAATATTTTCTCCATAGTAAATGCGTGTGTGTGTGTGAGCACGCACACATGTATGGAGGGGGTGTTCTGTCATTCTCTCAGTTCAAAATCACTGCTGCACACCTCTGCCATAATTTATCTCTTCTCACTGACATGAATGTGTTACTTCTCTCTAATTTGTTAAGATGGAGAGTCTGAGGATCACCACATTGGACATTCAAGAACCAAATGAGATGCTGGGGGGAAAAAAGCCCATGTTTTATATAAAACCACTTATATGTCCATTAAGCTATTGATTTGTTTTGGTACTATTGTCAGATGACTTTAACTTTTGTTCCTCAATGGGAGAAAAGAGACAAGATACTTCTCTAAGGTCCTTCTCAAATTTTGAATGTCTATGGCACTAAGAAAATAAGCTTAAAATGGACTAAGAACAATATCAGATATTTTTCCACTTTAGGAATAAGAGAGATAATCCAAAGGCAATGCTATTCCATTCAAGCTATGGCTGACAACTCTGCCCATTTCTCTTTCCCAATTCCTGTTCAGGTAGTGTGGCTCTCAGGAAGATGAACTCATTAGTGGAAAAGCAAAGAAATGATATTAAGAGGGTATGGTCTATGAATGAGTGTTTAAATTCTTCTTCCCAGCCTAAGTGTTATAAAAACCCAATACTTCTTTCCTTTATCACTGTCACCTTTTCCTTTATCACCTATCCCATCCAAAATGGGATAACTGGAAAAAGTGAAAAGATCACTTTAATCAGTGTGTGCCTTTCCTTCAAATATATACATGGTAAACCTTTACAAACACCAGTTTCTACAAAAGAAGATCACGATAAAATTTACAACACTAAAATTCAAGCCAAATTTTTACTTGATGTTTCAGGATTGTGATGACTTTTTTGAGTTGTTGACTTGGCGAGGCTACAGTCCCTGATTACTTACATAACCCAGAAATCTAAGGTGGCTCCCCAAATCCCTGCTCCCTGCAATCAGCCTTTTGTAATTCCTTCCCCCTTGAAGAAGGGATGGGACAGTGAATATGATGGACTTCATTCCCATGATTATGTTGTGTCATACATCAAAAGGGATTTTGATGGTGTGATTAAGGTGCCCAACCTGTTGGCTTCACAAAAGAGCAATTGCCTATGGGAGAGAGGGGGCTGGTCTAATCAAATGAGCCCTTAAAAGGGTCTGTGGTCTTCCTGGAAAAGAATTCAATATGTGAGAGGGATTCTACAGGAGGAAGGATCTTCTCGGCTGAGTTTACATATGGAAGAGGCCATGTGGCAAGGAATGAAGCAACCTCCAGGAGCTGAGAGGAGCCCCTAGTGGACATCCAGCAAAGAAACGGGGACCTCCATCTCATAATCACAAGGAATTGAATTCTACCACAATCATGCAAGCTTGGAACAGGACCCTGAACTCCATATGAGAACACAGCCTGGCCAACACCTTGATTTTAGCCTCGTAAGACTTCTTGTGGAGAACCTAGTTACACCATGACCAGAACTGTAGCCTACAGAACTGTGAGCTAATAAATGGGTACTGTTTTTAAGCCAGTACATTTGTTATTTGTTACACAGCACTAGAGAACTATTGCAAGGATCTTGCAATGCCCTCATGCCAACATCATGAGCATAATGTATATCATGTTGACAATGATGGAAATGGCAACTCTACTGAATCTGAACTTACTTTTTTAAAACAAAACCTTAATAACTTACTTGGAGAAATGTAAAATTTTAAGCCTCCACGTTTTTGTATTATTAATAATATCAATACAGATATTAATGGCAAATTTTATAACTATTATTTACATTTAGTATTTAGTCATTTACAAGGTGTTTTGAAAGAAACCATGTAGCATGGTGGTAAAAATCTTGGGTTTTGAAGATAGATCTAGGTTAAAATCCTGGCTGTGACTCAAATCTTGAACAAGTAGTTTAAATCTAACCTGTTTCCTCAAATGTTAAATGGTAAGACCCATGTCTATCTCCTAGAGTTCTTGAGAAGATCACAGGATACAACATACATGAAGTATATTGTATGTGCTCAAATAAATGTTAGGTTATTTTACTGTTCTTATTTATACTGCTATCATTTCCTTCAAAGTAGGGATCATGTCTTAGTCATCGCTGAATCCGTAGTGTCTAGCACAGTGCCTGGCACATGGCAGGTACTCAATAAATCTTTTTAAGAAAGAGAGATATTAACTTAACATACATCTCAAACAATTCTGTCATGGAAATGGTATCCCCATTTTACAGATAAAACTGAGGACCACACAGAGGTTGAGTTTCTGAAACAAGTCTTCTTAAACTAGAAAGTGGTAAAGTATAGAAAAAGCTTTCTAAATTCAAGTCCTGTGCTCCTTGCATGGTACGATACTATACACAGACACCGGAGGCATATAAAACTCTAATTCATATATAGTGCTTGTACATATTCCGTCTTAGTGCTCAAAAAAAGAACACAAATGGTCACTATTACTCCACATTCCACTAAGTAGAATTCTCTATTAAGTAATTTCTATTCCTCCTTTATGCCTACATTTGCAAAAAAGCAAAACATAGTAAAAATGGTTTCTACCGCCTAAATCCCCAAAGTCCACATGATGGGTATGTATCTCTACTACAGTAACTTTGCATTCCACAGTAAGAGTCCTGCCCCAAATTAACATTTCTGAGCAGAGGAGGTTTCTTTCTTTCTTCAGTCAAAAAATGAGTATAAAACAGAGACACCACCAGATGCTGGCAAGGATGTGGGGAAACTAGATCGCTCATATCCTGTTAAGAATGTAAAATGAAAAAAAAAAAAAAACACTCTGGAAAACAGTTTGGCAGTTTCTTTAAAAACTAAGCATAACCCAGTAGTCATACTTCTGGCCATTTATCCAGAGAAATGAAGAAGACTATGTCCACAGAGAAACCTGTACACAATTGTTCATAGCAGCTTCATTTGTAAAAGCCAAAAGCTAGAAACAACCAAAATGTCCTACAATAGGTGAATGGTTAAACAAGCTATGATATATCCATACCATGGAATACTACTACTTAGCCAAGAGAGCGAGACAAACAGAGACACGCAGAGAGAGAATGAACTACTGATACAAGCAACAACTTGTATAGTTCTCAAGGGCACTGTGCTGACTGAAAAAAGCCAATCTCAAAATACTGTATGATTCCACCTATACAACATTATTGAAATGACAAAATCACAGCCACAGAAACCATATTAATGCTTGCCAAGCTGGGGGTAGTTGCGGGGGGAGGTGACTATAAAGAGGCTGCATGAGGGAGATCTTTGTGTCAATGGAGTAGTAGTTCTGTATCTTGATTGTGGTGGTGGTTACTTAAATATATACATGTGATAAAATGACAAAGAAATATACATACATTGTTCCATTGTGAACTTGCTGGTTTTGATATTTTACTACAGTGACATAAAAAGTAATCACTGGGGGAAACTGGGCAAAGAGTAGATAGTACCTTTCTGTTCTATCTTTGCAATTTCCTATGAACCTTTAATTATTTCAAAAAATAAAACTGGGTGCAAAGTCAAATGTCTGAGACCTCTGGTAGAGTTTTCTATATTCTCTGCAACAAAACAATACCTTCTCATTTTAATGGCCCGAAAGGTAAGTACAACTAATTTTTTTACAGGGTACTACTTTGAAAACAAAGATAAAATAATTACACTTTTATAAAATTATAAACTTTGTCTTCATCTCAGATATTGGTATCTCTTCCCCATCCACCTTCATTCCATTGTCAAGCCTTTCAAATTTCATATCTAGAGTTTAACAGTTTGCCTCTCAGTAACTGACACTACACTCCAAAATTACTGCTTCCCCTGGTCTTATTTTTCCATTCCCACGAAAGTATACATTCCTTCAGAAAAATTTCAGCTAGGTAGTAGATTATCTAATTCCAGTCGCTGTATCTGAATGATTAGACCCTGCTGAAAGGCATACATTTTCTTAAAAAGCTCCTTAGTCCAAATAAATATCAATTTATAAAGTTACAATGTAAGAGATTTTCTAGCAGAAACACCTTCCAAATTCTGCCAATCTGCTCTAAGCTACCTCCTGCCCATTCCTCACTGTACAGAAATCCCTCTCACAATATCCCAGGCCAGCTTCAACAACTTCTTATCTTACTTCATAAAATAAAGATCCCAGGAACACAACCAACATTTGCAAAGCACTCTGGCTGACACAGAACTTACATACAAGAGATCTCAGTTGATGCTCATTATACTGTAGGACACATAAAAGCAGGGATCTATTTTCATCCCCATCCCAGAGATAAGGTAACTTGGACTCAAGAGAAGAAACTTCTCAAGATCATACAGGCAAATGATTAAGTTGCAGAATAGGGGATAGAATTCAGATCTCCTGATTTCCTAATCCTAAACCATGTCAAAATGTTCCATCAAACTAAACAGCCCACTCTCAATCTGGTAACAGACATTTTATAACCACGAACACTAGAAGAATAGAAGGTAAAGAGTTGATACAATTGAATTGTTCTAATCCCATCTAAAGCAGAGGTTCTCAAAGCATGGTCTAATCCTAAAATCAGCGATTGTATGTCTAGTGATTGTAAACATATTTCAAAACAGAGAGTCATAACGCACTTGTATGTAGTTGAAGAAATCAGCTGGCTGAGAAAGAATAGAAAAGAAACCAGGCTGTTTACTTCAGCTAACTACTGCTTTATACAACTCACCAAGCCAAGTTTGTGAAGAAAAAGCAGAATCATGGTGCTATAATCAAGGCTGAATTCAGATACACTTTATTGGATCTCTAGTTCTTCTAAATCTTGGCCAGTAAAAAAAATACCAAAGCAAAGCTAAGCACAGGAAACCTCAAGGACTCATCCATGATAACCTGATTTTTTAATCTCCTGATTCTCCTTCTAATCAATTCTCTGCATAGGGGACATGGCCAGGCCTTGTCAACCCTTGATCAAAGTGTAAGGTTAAAAAAAAAAAAAAAAAAAGGCCAGGGCACCTGGGTGGCTCAGTTGGTTAAGCGACTGCCTTCGGCTCAGGTCATGATCCTGGAGTCCCAGGATCGAGTCCCGCACTGGGCTCCCTGCTCAGCAGGGAGTCTGCTTCTCCCTCTGACCCTCTTCCCTCTCGTGCTCTCTCTCATTCTCTCTCAAATAAATAAAATCTTTTAAAAAAAAAAAGGCCAAATAATTGGAAAGAGACTGGAAAATTAATCACATGAAAGAAAGTACTTTTGATGGCAGCAAACAGAAATACAGAGTAGATGACCTCAGGACTGCTCACCCAAACAGAACAGTCCTTGGACCAAAAGTTTGAGAACCACACAATATACAAATTAGCCAACAACAAAGGGGTTTTACTCGGAAAAGTAGAAGAGCAAATAATGTAAAACTCATGATCTTAAAGCTGTTAAACATTACATCAACATTTATTATTAATAGGAGTACCTAGGCCCATTCTGCCCCATTTCTAACAGGGTCAGGATGCTACACGACAAATAAATGGGAAGCTTTTATAGAAATCTTACCAATTCGGTATTTTAGTTCTATGACGGTTTCACCTTCTCTGCTTAATTCAGTTACTTCACAAGTGTAGTTTCCTACAACAGCTTCTTCCTTATCCATCTCCAAAGAGGCAATGCCAGTTAGTAATTTTTGTGGTACGATTTTTGTACTCTTAAACTTATCTCCATGAGTGGTCTTTTGTAGAGCTCCATTAAAGGTGAAAATGTCTTTTCCTTTTAATTTCCACTTTACATACATTTCATTAATGTTTGTTGCCTCCACATTATTAACAAAGCATGGGATGGTAACACTTTCATTGCAAGCAGTGTATTCTACAGATTTGGTTATGTTAAATATTAGCTGAGCTGAACCTGAAAAAGAAAAAGAAAATTGTTTCATTTCATTATAGAATTCTATACTTCAAAAGTTGTTACAAATCCTTAAGATAAAGAGCAATGTTTCACTTGTTCATTTAAGCAAACAGTGCAACCACAGAGAAGACAGGCAAGATGAAAAAAATCCAAATTATTTTAATATTAATGTGCATAGCTGGTAGACAACATTGTAACTTTTACTTACTCAATCTCAGTAATACAAAGTATACATTAACATACATCTTGGGAATAAATGCAGCAACCCCGCTGGAACATGCAGGTGTACGATCTGGCTTTGGAGCTTTGAAGTAATCATTACTGCCTACTGACTGATGTAGAAAAATAGTGTCCTAACCATGGAAAAATTTTGAACAGAAAATCAAACCAAATATTATATTCAGTATATACTTCCTCCAAATAGAACTTGCTAAACTGATAGGAAGTTTATCCTTATGTTGCATTTCCAAAAAAGATGACGGGGTCTACTTTAATACAAAAAAGTAAACCAAATGAATCACATCACATCTCTCCACAAGGATGGAAAGTCTTAGAATGCTAAGAAGAAAAAACATTCTCTGTGGCTATTTTCCCATTGCAAAATACAGCCAGCAACAGTCATTTTGTATGTAAGTATTAGGAAGGTTTATATACAATAGAAAGGCATTTTCCCACCCCTATATTTCACTGAAACTATGGAACAACCATTTCCAAATATATATTACAGGTATTCTTCCTTCTAGAAACCATAAACCGCTCAAAAAAACAAAAAAGCTAAGAAACAAGTTAATACCAAGAGCGGGTACTGCTAATAAATAGGATATTTACTAGTCCTCTCTTATCCATGGCTATGCTTTCTTTGGTTTCCGTTACCTGTGGTCAACCACAGTCTGGAAGCAGATTATCTTCCTTCTGACACATGTCAGACAATCCATAAGTAGCCTAACTCTAGGTCACAGCACCTTGCCTACATCCTTCATCTCACCATGTAAGTATTTTATCATCTCACATCATCATCAGAAGAAGGGTAAGTATAGTACAATAAGATATCTGAGAGAGAGACCACATTCACATAAATTTTATTATAGCACATTGTTATAATTGTTCTATTATTAGTTATTGTTGTTAATCTCTTACTGTGCCTAATTTATAAATTAAATTTAATCACAGATACATATAGAAAAAAATAGTATATGTAGGATTGGTACTATCTTTGGCTTCGGGCATCCACTGGCAGTCTTGGAACACATCCTCTACAGATAAGGTAGACTACTATATTCTACCAATACTTCTCCAGAGATTAAACTATCATTGCCTTACAAAAGAGGGACTGGAAAAGGAAATTCAATCACTTACCTTTCATCTAATATATATGAGAATATGGAGAAATTATAGCTGTCTTCCATACTGTTCAACCATTTATCAACTCTTTTACCTAAGTAGTTAGCTAGCTCCTCCCTCAAAAAACAAAGCACTAACAAATACAAATAAAACATCAACTTCAATAGTTCATCCTTAAGATTTCTTCTCTCTACATTTATAAACTGGGAAAAAAAATCAGGAGCATCGGATGTTATTACCTTAGGAACATAATTATTATTCAGTAACTGCCCACTGAGTTGAATGCTAGGATGCAGTGGAATATGAAGTGGACAATGTTCAGAAAGCCTGAGTACAAATTAAGCAGTTCATTTAACTTTTCTACGCCTTGGCTTACTCTCTGTGAATAAGAGGATCAAAAACAAACACTGGGCTACTTCACAGAACTGTGGTGAGCATCAAAGGAGAAAATACCTGGGCAAGTGCTAACAATGCCGTGCTATAAACACGAGGGGCAATACTATAAAAGTTAGGGGATATGGCATTTTACTGTAATGATCTGGACCTTCTCTGACTGGCAGGTCCAAACTGTTTTATTTCTGGGAATTTGCAGTTTGAACTAGCCTTGGGGATATCCATAGCGCACCTCTTCCCACTTCTCTACATTTCTTGCCATCCAAATATTAGGAAGCCTCTGGCAAAACCTGGACTTCCAGCTGCATTCTTTGAAGCCGTGGGCTTGGGAACTGTCTTCCCTGAAAAAGAAGCACTGGGGGTGGGGAGGAGAGGAACTACAGTGTACAAAAAGGAAAGAAGTAGGGGTGCCTGGGTGGCTCAGTCGGTTGTGTCAGACTCTTGGTTTCGGCTCAGGTCATGATCTCAGGGTTGTGGGACTGAGCCCCACAGTGGGCTCCACACTGAGCAGGGAGTCTGCTTGAGATTTTTCTCTCTCCCTCTGCCCGCCCTCCCCCCCACCTCTCTTAAATAAATGAATATATCTTTTTTTTAAAGATTTTATTTATTTGAGAAAGTGAGTGAGTGAGAGAGAGAGAGAGCACATGAGCAGTAGCAGAGGAAGAGGGAGAAAGAGAAGCAGTCTGTGCTGAGCAGGGAGCCCGATGCAGGGCTCCATCCCAGGACCCTGGGATCATGACCTGAGCCAAAAGCAGACGCTTAACTGACTGAGTCATCCAGGCGCCCCATGAATAAATCTTTTTTAAAAAAAGGAGAGAAAAAAGTATGATGCTGGAATCAGAAAGAAAGGAACGTGTCAGAAAATATAGTGAAAGGTTTTGAAATGGACAAAAAGATAACTGAGTGTCCTTTCAATGGAGTGCTGGGAATTGTGTGACAAATTCCTTGGGAATATTTCATTCTGTAGGGGCCTATGCCTTTCACTGTGTTTATCTGTCTGAGCTATTTTACAATTTTGGTAAAACTGATGGCAATGCAAATGATTTGTGTCCATAGAGATACAAATAAACTTTGTTCTGCAATTCACTTCTCCCTGGTGAAAGAAGAGAAGATTTCAAAAAACCACGTTTTATTGCCTTGAGGATAATATTGCATCTATCTGGAAATTCATTTCACCATTCCTGATTGCCAATAAATGTGTCTGTTCTCTAAATCTTCTTTTAAAACTGAGATGGTTTTACCATCTTGCTGGTTTACTTGCTAATTAACATGTGAAATAAAATCTTTGATATGTGGTCATTTTGTATTTGTTTCAGTCAAGATTTAAAAATTATTTCTAAAAATTACCCCTTAATAAATAGATATAAGTAAAGAGCTCAGTTATCCTAGCAAACTTTTTTAGAAGGCTCTAAGTAAGAAGTGGTTGGTAAAACTCCACAATTTCATCTTATGTACAGAAAATGAATCTTCTAAAGAATACAGAAAGCACTAACTGTACTGCATTTTTTGTTGCAATAAAACAATCTTATAGCTGAAGCAGTTTAAGTAGAATAAATGCTATCAATAAAATTAAAAGTAAAATTGACCTAAATAAGCCATAACTTGAATAACCCTTGCGCTAATTAATAAATAAGGGTAGTCCAAAAATGTCACTCCACCAACTGTTAACTACAGCTTCATCCTCTATAAACATTTATTAAAAAAACAAAACTATTAAGTAGTAAAATTATCTGATTTGGGTTTTCTTTTTCCTGCTGCTTTCTGATAAAACATCAAAGTGAAAAAACAAGATTTAAAATATAGAGAGCAAATAAAAGTATGTAGATAATTAACATAAGGAAACTGATTAATCAAGAAATGCCTATAGCAGTCTAAATCAGATAGGAATAGGTAAATATAACTAACCATCAGTGATGCAAGAGCTACAGATAAATTAACAAATGAAATGGGGAAATTATTTTATATAAAATGCCAAAAATACTAGACTTCACAACCTCTATAAATACAGACCACCAACTGAAACCATCTCAGACCACAGTCCTGAAAACAGCTATTACATGTTGCAGAGACTACCAGCACACAAGTCTAGCTCTGAAATGTACAAATGCAACAAACACTTATTGAGAACCATCTGATCTGAAACACTGTGATAGGATGAGGGGATACAATGACGGAAAAAAATAGGAATTATCTTTTGGAAGCTTCCAATCCTCATTTGGAACAATGATACATACTTTTTATAACAGGAGGTCGGTCATAAGTGCTATCCTTTGGTATGAACAAAGTGTTATAGATGGGCAGGAGAGTGATCAGTCTTACAGATTTCTAAGAAAATTTGCATTGCTACTAGGGGAACAACAGAAGATTGTCACAGCTCCCACCCATCTGGGCCTTCAATCACTTATCTTTTTATATGTTCCATGCAAAACCTCTCTCTCTCTCCTTTGTAACCCTTAAATCACTCCCCTTTTGCAAAAGCTTATCCTGTACTCTCCAAAGAAGCCATATTTCTTAATTTGAGTCCTTTAGATGAGAAGCCAGAAGCTTCCAAAACTTCCCACCTACAAAGTTACCTGCAACCCCAACTATCCACAGACCCCTCACATTCCTCCTCTTCACAACCGTATCCCTTCACCCATTAGTTTTCATTTCTGCCTCCACACCCACTAGTCACCCCAAGGACTTTCCCTAGTTGATTATCAGCTTCCTACACCCCCCATGCCGTTCATAGGTGTTTTTTAACATAAAAGAAATGCTTAAATATTGACCAACTTTTTAAAAAATCACTCATACTTGTCTCCTCCCTAGCATCCTAAAATAATAATCTAAATGCATTTCTTCACCTCCTATTCACTTCTTAAATCTCTGCCACACGGCCTCTACCTCTTCCTTCTTCACTACAACAGTTCGTGCCAAAGCCCCCAATAATCCCTTATGAAAAATGGAATGTGCACGGTTTTTACTCTCTGTCTTGACTACTGTATAGTCCCTGAGCCAGTAGGCAGCTCCTTTTTTGCGCTTATCTCTTGGCCTCTGTGATAGCTCTTGATTTTGAAGTTCCTCTTATTGCTTCGCCCACCCCATTAGAGCTTTCTTTCTTTATTGAAATCTATTCCTTGACTCACAATAAATATTAGTGTTCCTCAAAACTTCATATCCAGCACTGCCCTCCTCCCAACCTCCTGGGGCCCACCATTCTCTCTTACTCCACAGTTTTAACTACCTACACACTTTTTGTTTAGCCAGGCCCCACTTTCTCCTTAACT